ATAGGGAAGGGTGGAGGGGGTGAAGGGAGGGCTAGGAATGGGGAACAAATAAGAACCAAGATGGATTATTTAAAGGTCCAATTCCCAATGAGAAATGTAATTGTGTTGTATACCTACAATGTACCAATAAAAGAATTTAATACAAAAAATATAGGTTATGTTTCTATAGTACTTTGGATCTTGGCAGTCAGGGGTCATCATTAGGAATCTAAGCTAGGTATTGTATTAGTGAGCTTTCCCTTCCCTGAGACACAACACTGACATCCACAACATAAAGAAAGAGAAGTTTATTTGGCTTATGGTTTCAGAAGATTTAGTCCATGGCTATCTGGCTCTAAGGCATAAGCATCATTGTGGAAGAGCATGGCAAATGTAAAGCTGCACAGCTCAGAGGGGCCAAAAAGCAGAGCAGGGGAACAGTGCCTGGAAGAGGGAGCCAGGAAACAGATATGGTATGGAAGATCACACCTCCTTGACTCACCCACACACATCAAGATGTGTGGTCCATGAATGCCCTAGGTAGATCCCAAACCAATCAAATTGACACAGTCATGGTTAACCATTATAGGTATTCAAGAAATGGTAATAAATATCATTTTTTTGTAATAAAATTTCTCTTAATAGTACTGGATAAATGCTATTTGAAATAATTATCCCTAAAATCATTTCAAACAATTCCAAGGGATAAGCAAACAGTTTTTCTTTCTTAGGGAAGGTAGTCCCTGAGGAAGTAGTCATGAGGGAATCTCTGCCTTAACAATCAGGTAAGTGAGACCAGTAATTGGTAGTCAAAGTGCTTATTTTCCTGTTATCTACAGTTAAGGAACAAGTGCAATCTGCTTTCTAGAAGTGCAGGTGCCTTTGGGTAAATTAACAAATGTAAATCATGTTCTTTAGTGTGGGAAAATGTTACCAGATAAATTAGAGATTCTGATTCTTTCATCCAGGCTGGGAGGAGAGGGCTCTGAGCTCAAGTCTTCTGTCTCCTATTCACCAGGTCTTTGCTTTTCTCAGGAAAATTGGCCAGGAGACAGTAGAGAATATCACTACAGCTCTAAATGAGAAAGGTGAGTCCCATGATCAGGCAATCATGGTTTGTGATGTAATCTGGGGGTTACAAGTGCTAACTCTAAGAGTCAGACTCCCAACATTCACTGGAATGAAGTTCCATACTTTTGTGACTTTGGGCTAGATTCTTAATTTCAGTTGTCTCATCTGTGAAATGAGAATAAGAGCACTGTCCCATTGTGCTTAGAACAGAGCCTCTTACAGAACAGAACCACTTACAGAGCTCTTGAATAAATGTTGGTTTAAAAATATTAAATCTACAGCTACCTGAGCTAAGAAAGCTTGGAAAAACATAACCTCTGTATCAGTTAAAAATAACTTTAATTAAAACAAAATAAAAATGGGAAATTATCAACAAAAATACAACCTCAATTTTGGATGTTATGACACTGATCTAGGGCCATGGTAGCTTTTGCCTCTTAAGATAGGGAAGAGGCTCAGGAGCATCAGCAGAAACAGAAGTCAGAGAAGGAACAGAGTTTACTTAAAAATCTAAAAAACCCCAAATAACTTGTTTGTGTACAGTATTCCTTTCTTGAACATCATCAGCTCTCATTCTGGAGGCAGAGTTTATCCTCACACGGAATTGTGGAAGGTAAAGTCACCTGATAGTTTGCTACCCACAGGAAATGGGAAAAATTATGAAACCAAAGTTTAAATATTTCTTTATGGATTCCTTTTTCAAGAATAGAGGAGAGATACAGAAGGGTCATTGTGATGTTTCTTTGTTTCTATGTGATCTTCTTTTCTTGACCCCACAGATCACATGTGAAAGAGGAGAATGGTGGCCAGAAACTCTTCTGTGACAGAGTTCATCCTTGCAGGCTTAACAGACCAGCCAGAACTTCAGATTCCCCTCTTCTTCCTGTTTCTAGGTTTCTACCTGGTCACTGTGCTTGGGAACCTGGCCTTGATCTTCCTGATAGGGCTGAACACTCACCTGCACACTCCCATGTACTTCTTCCTCTTCAACCTCTCCATAATTGATTTATCTTACTCCACTGCCATCACCCCCAAAATGCTGATGAGTTTTATCTCAAAGAAGAACAGGATTTTACATGCTGGATGCATGACTCAACTCTTTTTCTTCTGCTTCTTTGTCATTTCTGAGTCCTTTGTTCTTTCAGCAATGGCATATGACCGTTATGCTGCCATCTGTAACCCACTGGTGTACACAGTCACCATGTCTCCCCAGGTGTGTTTACTCCTCTTGTTAGGTGCCTATGGGATGGGCTTTGCTGGGGCTATTATCCACACAGGAAGCATAATGAGTCTGACCTTCTGTTCTGACAACCTTGTCAATCATTTCATGTGTGACATCTTTCCCCTCCTTGAGCTCTCCTGTAACAGCACTGGTGTAAATGAGTTGGTGGTCTTTGTTGGTGTGGGCATTGTCATTGGAATACCCATTGTCACCATCTTCATTTCTTATGCCCTCATTCTGTCTAGAATTCTTCACATTCGCTCCACAGAGGGCAGATCCAAAGCTTTTAGCACCTGCAGCTCCCACATGACTGTAATTTTTCTTTTGTTTGGTTCTGGGGCTTTTGTATATCTCAAACCACCATCTGTTTTGCCCCTTGGCCAAGGAAAAGTGTCTTCTGTGTTTTATACCATTGTGGTACCTATGTTAAATCCTTTAATCTATAGCTTGAGAAATAAGGATGTCAAAATTGCCTTGAGGAAAACTTTGGACAGAAAAATATTTTCCTAAGAGAACAGTATTTGAAAAAGAAGACACAAGTTTCTGCTTATTTGTATTTATATTTTTAACCAGAGAGCCAAATTCCTGGTTATTTTATGTCATGTAAGAAAGTGAATTGTAAGTCTTTCTATTTGGCTGAATGTTTCGTGCAGATCTGTTCTTCCTGACTCTTTTGCACCTCATCTCAACTATTTCATGATTTATGCAAAACAATTATAATTAATTTAATGTGACTGGGTTTTATTAACTGTTTAATCTGACCTTCTCCCTTAACAGATATTAGAGATTCAGAAATGCATATGTTCCATTTGGGCACACATCTCATTCCAATCTACTTTTGTTTTAATAAAGCCATGTTTTCTCATTATATTGCTGGACTTATACATTTACTTTAAAAATGTGATAAAACATTAAAATTTGATTATGCTTACAGTGATGTAACCTCTTATTAATACTTTTTTTAAGAGGAAAAGAAAGGAGGGAAAATTTTTTTTATCAAGGTGATCTTGGCCAAATGACAGAAAAGTACATTAAGATGATGTTGTTTGTGTGTCATTAAGATTGAGTTCTTGTGTGAGAGCCTTTAATCTCAGTGTATTTAGTTATGTCTTCTATAGGTTGATAGGTTACAAGATGCTGAGTGGAAGCTCATACATTATTTCCTGAGTAAGAGAGTCATAACAAGGATTTTCAAGAGTTAAATTATGCATTTGAACCATGACGGAGAGATTTGCAGCTCAGGACATCAAAAAAAATCTGGACATTTGAACGAGGCAGTAAATAATTTTGAGGATCTGGTTAAATATTAAGGCAGCACCCAGGAGTTCATTATTGAAAAAGACAATTTATTTCCATTGAATTTTAAAGACAAGCTATACAAATTAGTGTATCAACATTTTTATTCAATAGTTTTCAGTGATCTAGAAGGAATATATATTTTTTCTGAATATCCAAATGCTATATAGGTAGAAACGTCAATTAAAAAAATCCATCAGTGAATAATCTTTTGTTTTTATTTTGATAAAAATAATTAAATATACTTTATCTTAGTCTTACCCCCTCTCCTTCCCTCCCTCCTTTCTTTCTCCTCCCCCTCTTCTCCCTTCCTCCCTCCCTTCCTTCCTTCCTCTTGCCTTATGAACTGGATATTGAATCCAAAGCCTTCACCCTGATCTACACACCCAGGTCGCAAGCCCTTTTCCATTTTGAGATAGGATCTCCCTAAGTCACTAAGTTGTCCAGGCTGTGGTTGAACTTGTGATCATTATGCCTCAGCCTTCCAGAGTGGTGGGATTATAGGCATGAACCACCACATCCAGCTAGCTATTTCTTTAGGTTGAGTGAAACCATCATAAAAGAAGAAGTATGGGGAAAGCACTAGAAACAGAATCTTGGATAAAGCATGGGCCACTTGATCCAATTATTATTTTTATGATGGCTTTACCTAGTAATGTTATGAATTATTAGGTGTTAGGTTCCAGTTGCTGTCTCCCTGGGCTCACTGAGGTGGCCTTGGGCTAAGTAGAGAATTTTAGAAAAAAAAGTACTAATCACTATATAAGTTAGACTTAATTAAATTTTTAGTCTGTTTCTTGAAGTATGCTACTAAGAACATGAAATATACTACTAAGAACCATTTACTATGAAATTTTTTTTCAATATATCTATATTTGACAAAAGGCTTGGCCAGATTTAAAAATGAGAAAAAAAATAGCCAAATAAACAATATATATAATAATAATATTGATATCAATAATCAGGGAACTGAGTTTACTATAAAATCACTCTAACCATTTCATAGCCACTGAATATCTAAATTAAAAATACTGAAAATAATAATTGATGAGCACCTGGTGCTCTCATTTATTGCTGGTGAACATATAAAATGGCATAAGCACTTTGGAAAAGACTTTAGCAGATTTATGTAAAATGAAAATTACACATTCCTTGCAATGTAGAAAATCCACTTCTAGATATTTACCAAAGTGCAATAGAAAAATATGTCCACCAAAATACTTGTGTATGGACATTCATAGCAGCTGAATTTATGCTAGTCATAACTCAGAAGCAATCCAAGTTTCCCTCAATGGTGAGTTTATTCATGTCATTGAAAACTACTCAGCAATAAAATGGAGTTCATTACTGGCAAACGAATGAAGCTGAAAACTTTATGCTGAGTGAAAAAAATTTGACATAAAAGTGTATAAACTGAATAACATTTTTATGGAATTTGAAAACAGGCAAAAACAATGTATAATAATTGAAAACAGACAGTAGTTGCCCAGGACCAAAGATGATGTCATTCATCATATTGGGGAACCTTTTAGGATAATGAATTATATGTCCGGATCATATACCTGGATTGAGTGGTGGTTGCATAGGTAATACATTTGTCAAAAATTACTGAACTATATGCATAAAATATGTACATTTTATTATGTATCAATTATATCTCAATAATTGTTCACATACAACATGTAAATGGCAAAGGCCAAGAAACAAAAATGAATCCCTGAAACCCAATATAATTTATAATCAATGAAAATTAAAATAATACCATAGTATTTTAGCATCCAATTGACTCAATTTTATAGGAAATATTAGAAAAGACACAGGAAAAGTGGTGTTCATATATTATTACTGGTAGGAGTGCAACTGAAAAGAGCCTTTTATGAGCAGGACAGTGACATCTTTTTAAAAAAATCAGTAGATACACCAATTTAAAACACTGGGAATTTACCCACAGAAAACTAGTGAACTAAGTCAGGCACAAATGCTATGCTTGATCTTAGCCAAAGGGCCAAGAAGCTATAGGCACAAATGAATAAATACTGCATAACTTCATTCATATGTGAAATCATAAAATGATCTCATAGGAGAGAATAGAATGGTGGTCAAAAGATTGTGGGGAGGGTATGGAGAAAATGGGCAAAGAGAATTTGTTTAATTGGTACAAAGTTGCAGGAAGATAGAAGAAAGAAATTCTGGTGTTCTTTTGTCTAACAGAATGATGCTAGTTAAAGACATATTGCACATTCAAAATAACTAGAAGAGAGAAATTTGAATGTTCTCATCATGAAGAAACGATGAATGTTGGAGATGAGAGATATGTTTATTCCTTTGATTTGATCATTATACAATGTATTTATTTGCTATTTCTACTTCTTTGTCTGAGAAAAAAAGACATAAAATTTAAAATGGGGTTAAGTTTGCAAAAAATGTGCATTTATCTCATCAGTGTTTAACATCATAAAAGTTTGACATTGTAAAATATCAATAAAGAACTGACAAACTAAGTGGTAGCATTCTTATTTAAGGGAGATCATGAAATCATCAAAACAATCCTGTTGGAGTTTATTTATTGATATGAAAAGGTACAAATGACATATAGTGTAAACAATACAATGTAATCCAAAATCAAATATTTTGGATCCAAACATCAATGGTGATTATTTTTGTGTTATAGAAATATGGATGCTTTTAATTTTCTGCTTTATGTTAATAGTATTTTACAATTTTCTAATGTAATGTAGTACTTGTAAAAAGTAAAGTGTTTTTTGATTTTTTGAGACAGAGTATCACTTTGTAGCCTAACCTGGCCTTGAACTTGACAATTCCTCTGACTCAGTAGTCCCTTATTACTGGGATTATAGGTATGCATTACTGCCCCTGGAATAAAAAATTAGTTGTTAAAAGGAACAGATAAGTTTTGCAAATTGTGTATTCTGTGAATTGGTTTTTGGTAAATTAGCCTGTTGGTAAATTAGTATTCAGTGTACTAATTTAAAGTTAATTAGCTTTAGTGCTTTGAAAATTATAATGAATTTAACTTTATTAATGATGTTAGTGATATAATAGCTGGAAAAACGGTGTCACTAATTAAGAAAGAGAATATAGAAAAAGTATTTGAAGAAAGATAACCATATTGTTTTTTTATTAGTACATGCTTAGTACATAATGATTACATTAACCCCCTGCTCCTCTGTACAGCCACCTGGTTCCACACTACAAAGACACAGAGGACACTGGACCACCAGACCACGGTACTGAGTCCCGCTGTTCCCGGCCCAGAGGGCAGAGAAGCTCAGCTGGTCCCAGGGCCCAGAAGGAAGGTCCCTGCCTCCATCCCAGGCTCTTAGGGCAGAGAAGCTGAGTCGGTCCCAGCATCCAGAAGGACGCTCCCTGCCTCCATTCCAGGCTCCTAGGGCAGAGAAGCTCAGCCAGTCCCAGCACACAAAAGGAATCTCCCTACCTCCATCCCAGGCTCCTAGGGCAGAGAAGCTGAGCCAGTCCCAGCATCCAGAAGGAAGCTCCCTGCCTCCATTCCAGGCTCCTAGGGCAGAGAAGCTCAGCCAGTCCCAGCACACAAAAGGAATCTCCCTAGGGAAGGTGAGCCACGTGGGCACAAGAAGCACCCCCCCCCCGTGGAAATGAGAAAACACATAAGCAAGCCTCAAAAACAGAGTTCCAGATCATCTACAGCAACCCCAAAGGGAAAC